CTGGTAGAGTAGACTACAATGCCGGCTGTTCTTACTCACAGACTGTAAGTACGTTTTTTTATATTTAAAGAGTTTTTATATTTTATATATTTAAAGCGAGTTTTTTGGACAGTTTAGAGTAGTGCTTGTTGTTTGTCATTTCTCCGATCACAAATGCAGACATGGTTTTATGTTTACGCGGCGCGATGCAATGCAACGCGTAAAAAGACAGTATAAGTCATTATAATCCGTAATTATGTCCCCACTGGATGCAACAAATGCCTCGTTTATAATGGGTTTTAATGTTTTTGTCTCGTCGCTCCGGCCGGACACGGCATCAACAGTATGTGAGGGGCGTAACATTTCCGTCTCACGCTTGAGGTATTCGGCCAATCACAACGCACTGGATAGCTGGCCAATCACAGCACACCTCGCTTTTCAGACCGATGAGCTTTGTAAAAATCGACGCGTTTCAGAAAGGCGGGGCATAGAGGAGAAACAATAATGTACAGTATGTGGAAAATAATGTGTTTTTGAACCTTAAACCACATAAACACATTTCATTACACCAAATACACAACATAATGTTATTTTTAGCAGCATCATATGACCCCTTTAATCGTGGCTGATGTTGGTTCTGGCTCATTTGTCACAGTGGAAGCAGGACGCTGCTCTAAAGAGGAATGGAGACTATGGTCGGCAGAGGGCCGATGGGAGGAGGGTTGTATTTCTCCACACGCATTAACCTGCGCAGAATATCGTCCCGATCTTTCGGCGAGCTGTAGACATGCGTGTTTTGCAGCCAGGTGGGAACGTAACACTGAGAACGAGAAGAAAACAGGTCCTTTGCTGTGAGAAGTCTTACAGAAGCTGAAATGATGTCGGTATTTGCTTCATTAATCATGATTCGATGGTTCAGTGCATTGCTCTGTGAAGTGTAGAGAATGTGGGACTAGTTGAACCCGTTTAGTGCTGTAACAAGCTCACAAACATGCTTTGATCCACTGAAATGCTTGGGGGTAAACTGCAGTGTGCTGAATTTCACAAACCTTTTTAGCTCCCGGGAACAGAATAGGAATGAACCTGTAGTTCCTGCAGCCGTTCTGAATGAATTCGCTCTGCAGCTGATGGAGGAAATCAAACATATCGACAGGGTCACAAATCTGTTTTTACACTAGAATTTAACAAACGTAAGCAGAGCGACACACTCTCTTAACCGAACCCTCGCAATTATATTATTATGCTTGTTTTGACTAAGGCAGCACATGCAATCCCAGAATGCACTGCAATGACCTCGGTGAAATATTTCATCCAAAAAAAATTATTCTATTCAAAACATATGAGCAACTAAATTAAAATAGTTTAATTTAATTCAAAAGTATTATTAATATTAATAATAATAATAACAATATTGCTGTTATTATTATTTTAATGCATTTGATATTTGTGTGTGCAATTTTTTTTGTTATTTTTGTTCACACTAAACTCTATTGGAATCAGCAAAATAATAATAATGATTATTATTTTTTTTATTTTATTTTTTTACTGAATTTTGTATTTGTGTGCAATGCATTTTTATTTAATTAGCAAAAGTATTAATAATAATAAAAACAATATTATTATTATTATTATTATTATTAATTATTATTGTTATGATTTTATTGCATATTATATTTCTGTGTGCAATGCATATTTATGCTTATTAAAATATCACATTGCATGCTCATGCTAAACTCTATTGGAATTAGCAAAAGTATTAATAATAATAAAAACAATATTATTATTATTAATACTAATTATTGTTATTATTTTATTGCATATGATATTTCTGTGTGCAATGCATATTTATGCTAATTAAAATATCACATTGCATGCTCATGCTAATCTCTATTGGAATTAGCAAAAGTATTATTATTAGCAGTAGTAGTATTAGTATTAATTATAATAATAAAAGTAATCATAATAATTATTTTTATTTTAATGCATTCAATAATTGTTTGTACAAATTTATTTTTATGCTTATTAAAATATCACATTGCATGTCCATGCTAAACTCTATTTTTATTATTAATTATATATATATAATATAATAATAATAATTCCTAAAAATACACAATAATAATAATTATTATTTTAATGCATTCAATGCATTTTTCAGCTTATTCAATTATCACATTGCATGCTCACACTAAAGTTATAATAATAATAATAATAAGAAGAAGAATTATTATTATTATTATTTAATCTATTCAGTATTTCCTAAACTTTACTGGAATCAGCAAAAGTATTATTAATAATAAAAATTGTAGTTTTAGTTACACTAAAGTTATAATAATAATAATAAGAAGAAGAAGAATTATTATTATTATTATTATTATTTAATCTATTCAGTATTTCCTAAACTTTACTGGAATCAGCAAAAGTATTATTAATAATAAAAATTGTAGTTTTAGTTTATTTTGGGACCTGTTTGTGGATGTATACAGTGTTTGACGTTCTCTCGTCGCCCTCCACACTGGTATTCATGCCTGATATGGTCTCGTAATACCTCAGGCTGATGATGATGATGATCAGGTAATCTTTCTGCAGGGAGAGAGAAAGACACGCTGTAACTGTAGCTGTTTAGAGGATGACGACGTCACTTCCTGTCTCTGCGTGTTTACCTCATTGAGATATCGCTCCATGCAGTCGATCTTACTGATGCTGTTCAGCTGCTGCTCGAAAACATCAATCTGTGCACGAAGACGCAAGAATCAATCCAAACCCACAGAACTAGATCGAGATCAAACCCAAAACTATAAAATGATGGCCGTACATGCGTGTCAAAGCCGTTGTTCCTCAGCAAAGACACGAACTTAATGATCTCCTTCAAATGCTCTTCACTGTCGGCCTCGTACGTGACGAAAATTTTCCTGTGTGGAGAAAAACAAAGAGTAGGTCAAGCCGCCTCAAAACAACATATGAAACTTTGCACTGTATTTTTCCTGTTGCATGAAATGACCATATAATAATTATTATCTAACAAAGTCGGAAATTAACGAGGGTTTAATTAAATTAAATCTATCACAGCTGTCGCGATTCAAAAGGAAAGAAAACTGTCAATCTGCGGAATTACATTCAGATCTAAGCACATAGAATAAGGTTGCCTTTTACACGTTGTTGTTTTTGCAGCGTAGAGCATTACAACCAATCACACATGTTTCTGTTGAGATTATGAATGCAATGGGCCAAACAGAGGTGTTCATATTACTCAGCGCTGAAAACACCAGGTTTTGTTGAGTGCACGCGCAGCTCTTTCGCAGCTTCACTGATTATAACAGGAGGTTTTGCATAAGTTGCGCTAGACTAGACTAACATCATGAACCGACATGTTTGTCTGTGTAGCAAGTAAACATATGCCGGTATTCGGTAATGCGATATATCACGGTAATGAATATGCACGATATTGTTATCGTGGGCACTTCTAAAT